TACGGGTCTTTACCAAACCATTTCTATACATATTATTTCACACCAATTATTTATATACCTATTAATTATTTGCTTAAATATTTTTTAGTAAAATAATTTATTTTGAAAAAAACATTCAAGAGGAAAAAACTTAACATGTGCACCTTTCCTGCATACGTAAAGCTTATAAAAGACTTATAATTAGGTTTATTTTTCTGCCAAATGCATTCCATTGATAGCTCAGTGGTTAGTGCGCTGTCATTAGTTTTTTTTTTTTTTTTTTTTTTTTTTTGGTTTGGGGTGAGGGGAGTTTAAGACCTCAGCGTAATAAACTTTGAAATTTTAAATATAGTAAAAAAGATTTCTAAAGTTTAAAATGAAATTTTAAAGTTTTCTTATTTTATAGATATATTATTTGCGATTATTCCGTATAATGCCTGCAAACTCAACATATGCTAAAATGTTTACACTTGTAGACATTTGTACGTAACGCTATATAAATGGAACTAAGAAGCTCTTCGACCACTAAAACATAGTCATAAAAAAAAAAGTTTATTTTTAATAAGAATTTTTAATGATAATCAAAAGAATTTATTATGATTATGATTAAAATGATTTATGCGTCCTTTTGCATTTTTATTTTTCCTATTTTTTATTTTTCCTTTTGCATTTATCTTACATTTTTTAAATTTATCTTACATTTTTTAAATTTATCTTACATTTTTTAAATTTATCTTACATTTTTTAAATTTATCTTACATTTTTTAAATTTATCTTACATTTTTTAAATTTATCTTACATTTTTTAAATTTATCTTACATTTTTTAAATTTATCTTACATTTTTTAAATTTATCTTACATTTTTTAAATTTATCTTACATTTTTTAAATTTATCTTACATTTTTTAAATTTATCTTACATTTTTTAAATTTATCTTACATTTTTCCTTTTGCATTTATCTTACATTTTTTAAATTTATCTTACATTTTTCCTTTTGCATTTATCTTACATTTTTTAAATGATTTTAATTATGTTGCATACAATTGCATAAAAATATATAAAACGGTACAGATATATCATTTCACGGATAAGAGACTGTATTTATTAGCATAGTAATAAACAAATTGTTTTTGTCTTTATTAGAATATATCCCATGAAAATATATTCCATATATCTTTAATAGAAGGATTTTTATTTAAAAATTTAAATAAAATCTTATTTCTAGTTTGTTTTTCTAGTTTTTTTCCACAAAGTGGTATCACATAGGCAAAAAAATTGTGGCTTCAACAATTTACGAAAAAGCCTCGTCTATCATTTTTAAAGATTTAAGAAGCAAATGACGTAATTTTAGCAATCAGAAATTATCAAGAGAGGGGAAAATCTAAAACTGAAGTTTCAAATTTTCCACTTGGATATCAAAATGTTTCATGTTTTTTCAATCTTGTCAATTTTTTAAAATATAATAACATACCTATTAAAATCAAAACAAAACAGCAAAAAAGACTTGTAATTATTAGAAAAGTTTACTTATATTCCATACGATCCTGAATAAAACGTTATATAAGTAGATCTTTATATTTTATAAACAATATACATAAACAAATAACATATTTGTTTATATATATTGTATATATAGGGATGGTTAAGCGCCAAAACTGTTTATACAACAAAGTTTTAAAAAAAATAGTTTTATTTTGAAAAAAGATTTATGTTTCTTTGCAAATACCAATATTCTATACTTAAAATTTTTAAGAGCACTGAACTGCAATTACTTTTAATGTTTTTGTTTTAGTGGCTTTTGTTAAGAGCTTTTAAATTTTGTGTCAAATTATCATATTTCAACATATTCCTTGTATCATCCATACTGCAGCCGTTTTTGAAAAGGCCCTTAAGTAAAAAAATCAGTTTTGACTTTTTTACAAAATAAGCTAGTTTAGATGTCTACAAACGTTTTTGAATACATATTTTCAAAGAGTTTAAAATATTTATATATTTAAAAAAAATTTATAAAAATTATTAGTTTTAAAAAACGTTTTACAAAGAGTTTCTCCTAATAACTTTTTTTTATTGCATTTTTCTAGAAATACGTAATGAGCATGGTTTGAGTATGGTAATGAGTATGTTTTAACATTACTTAATTTGAAGTTTACATAGATTAGATATTTTCATACACTTTCGCTCATGTTTGTTTACAACAAAATGTACTGCATTGCTTTCTCGCCACTATCTCAGTTGCAATGGCTGCCAAGTGTTCCGTGTCAAGCACGCTCAAATGAGCACTAACACTACTACTATTAAGTTCACAATAATATATAGAGATTAAAATTTATCTTAAATTTGTTTTTATTTTATACAGTTTCATCAATAAATTTAACAAAAGATTCCAAAAGAAATCAGTGAAAACCTGTTTTTTTTGTGGAAGATTTTGTCATATTTTGATTTTAAGTAATTTTTTGTACAGTAAAAGGCATTTTGAATCACCATGTATAATAATTATTTTTAAATGCTGTAATCACATGAACTAGAGTGGCTAATATTGTTGTTTATAAAAAAATATTTTTGTGATCAAGCCTACAATAACCACTGACCGGTACTAATGTTAAGTATCTACCAAAAGTTATTTATTGACACTGCTGGTTTGCTGGTTTGTTGCTTCAATAGTAATGGTTTAGCCTCTTCTTTTCCATTTTTTGATAATAAATCAAAGAATAGCATTGACCTTCTTATGATGTATTCTGATAAAGGGCTGCTGTGTTTTCTTTTTAAGTTTTTTAATAGCATTTTTGTTTGGTGCACAGGAAAAGTTTACTAAACAATTGTTTGTAAACAAAATTGTTTACAAACAAAATTGTTTGTAAACAATTTTGGTAAACATTGTCTTAATTTCATCTTTGAGCCGCTTGTCAAACAGAGTAAATGGTACAAAATGCTCTGAAAAATACCATTAGTGTTGTTTTAAAACAGTGGATGCTTTATCACTGACATAGCGCTTGGGATACTCATTAAGCAGCTTTAGCAGTTTAAAGTCATTCAGGGGTACTTTCTTACCAATTGTTGCTTCATGCCAGAATCAAGCATAAATGAGCAAAACAATCAGAGAAATCTTCATCAAGCCTCGCAACTTGTGTGCAGTAAGTTGCAATTTTGACCCTGACTATTCTGTATTTGACTGAATATTGAAAAACTATTTAGCCAAATACCAGATTGTAAAGAAAGAAAAAAAAGGATTTTTTAAAATTTTTAACAAATAATTAGCATATTTGATACTTAAAATCTATAGGTGGTTACCTTTAATTTTTATCAAAACATTTTCATCATTTGAAAGCAGGTTGAAGCCCTCAAATTAATTAAGTGTCACCTTATACAAGCCTTTCTAGGAAACACATGGGGTTTTTTGTCTTTTATGTCCGCGCATGAGTATTTTACTTTAGTCAACTTGGTCGCAGTTGTATGCAAGTTTTATTATATTAAGCATTACAGAAAAACTTAGTTTCAAAAAGTAAAAAGTTTCAAAATAGGAAATTAAAACAAATTTAAATAAAAAAAAAAAATTATTTAATAAATAAATAATTTGCGTATTATTTTTATTATTTTTTTTAGGATGATTGTTATTTTTAGCAACAAAATTAGATAAAGCAAAAAAAAAAAAGTTTGAAGTCAAAAGAATGATTTTCCAATTTTTTTTTTTTTTTAAAAAAGGACAGCAAAAATATAAATTGCTATCTGTTTGTAAAATATATTTGTATAATTTTGTAATTCAAATTTTATTTAAATTTTATAATGTAACAAGTATTTATTGTCCCTATATGAATATGTCTATGCTTATGTCTATAACTTTTTATTATATAATTACATTTATTTGATAAGTATGTACACGTTTAGCTTATTTGGATAAGGCATTTACTTTATACACGGAATATTCCAAAATATTTTTTATATGTATATATACATATTAAAAACTATGTATATATACATGCCTTACTTAAAAAATGCACTGAAAGGCCTAAATGGTATAACAAAATCTGAATGTGAAGAGATGTGTACCATTCAAAAAAGTATAACAAAAATATTTTTTTATAAACAAAATAGAAAATGGTTATAAAGCAAATATATGAGTAGTGGTATTTAAAAGAAAAATAATTAAAATAATTATAATAAAGTAATATTCGATCCACGGACATAACGTGTACGATGTTAACAAATAAGCTAAACGTGCACATACTTATAATCAAATAAATGTAATTATATAATAAAAAAATTATACATAAAAGTATATGCATGCTTTACATAGATGTATTCATTTAGCGACAATAACTTATTACATTCAAATAATACAAATATTTTTTACAAACAGATAGCAATTTATATTTTTACTTTCCTCTTTAAAAAAAAAAGCAACTAAAACATAGAAAAATCATTTTTTTTGATGCCGACTTTAAACATTTTTTTTTTGCCCTTAAAAAAAAGTAAAAACAGAACACAATTTATTTAAATTAATTTTAATTTCCTATTTTGTTAATTTTGCATTCTTTGTTTTTAAACAATTTTTTCTGCTGCAAAACTTGCAAGCTGTCATGACTAAGATGTCTAAAATAAAATAATCATGTGTGGAAATACGAGAAGAAAAACGGCACACCTTTTCTTGGAACGCTCGGTATAAGCAGCAGCCAAATATTCTGTGCTTGGGCTAAGCGTCTACCTGAGTATTCGGTATTCATTATTTGGCAAAATTATTGTTCGTGACGTCCCTAATATATATATATATATATATATATATATATATATATATATATATATATATATATATATATATATATATATACACACATACATATATATGTATATATATATATATGTATATATATGTATATATATATGTGTATATATATATATATACATATATATGTATATATATATATATATGTATATATATACATATATATGTATATATATATATATATATATATATATATATATATATATATATATATATATATATATATATATGTTTTAATTTTAAGGATGTTCTTGCTATTAAATCTCACTTCAATCAGCTAAATGGACTCTTTTCTTTCAGTACATCATGCATTGTATTTAATATGATCATATTAGTGTTGATAAGTATGTTAAAGTTTTTTGTTTTTTTTATGTTATTTTTCTGTAATATTTGCATAATTTTGTGTCTCTCAAATTATTTTATGTAACTTCTGTATCAAATTTAATACAAGAGTTTATATGTACTCAGTTGGTACTGTTACTACCAAACATGTACTGTTGCTACCAAAGTTTTGTTTTGACTAAGGGCATAAGAATAAAAATATTTTTTCTGGAAAAACGGCTATGTTTTCACAAGCAAAAAAATTAGGTTTCTCCAGAAAGGGAAACACATTCACCCAAAGTTTATATAAAGACAAAAAGATCATAAAGTTAGTATAAATAAATGCAAATATAAAAACAATATATGCAGTTAGTAATTTAAGTAGGAGAGACGGGGAAGACTTTGAACACAGGAAGAGAATGGAAACTTAGATAGCTCTTACCCTGTTAGTATTATTACAATCATATGCTTGATATTTTGGTAAACATACGCTCTTAGCTTTAATATATTTACGAGACAGTTTCCTGCTAAAAAATAGATTTTAAAGTGAAAAAACTATTTTTTGGTTCTTTGATGTAAAATTTTCAATTCCAAGTAAATCATTCAGATCCTAGTTATGAACTCTGCAAGAGTTGGTGCAACTTTTATGAACTCTGCAAGAGTTGGTGCAATTTTTATGAACTCTGCAATAGTTGGTGCAATTTTTATGAACTCTGCAAGAGTTGGTGCAATTTTTATGAACTCTGCAAGAGTTGGTGCAATTTTTATGAACTCTGCAAGAGTTGGTGCAATTTTTATGAACTCTGCAAGAGTTGGTGCAATTTTTTTAGAACAAAACATTTACCTTCTGACATTCTGGAAGTATTTGTAATCTATAAATGAGTTTTTAACAATTCCTTTGATTATTCAGTACATTCCTTTATGGACATTGTAGACATTGTCTAAAGTCAAATTTTCTTGCTTTTGTAATGATTACTAAATAACAATTCCCTATGGACAATTACTAAAATTTTGTAAATTTCTATTTGCACAATTATTAACAATTGCAAGTAGACTAGATTGTAGATTAATCCCGCACGAAGGAATTCTCGAGTGAATGTATATAAAAGCTGCATCTTTATTGATTCACATGTTACCCCACAACAAATTCCTCTGTATTCTAAAGCTGCTTGACGGAAATCAAACACTTATAAACAAGGACAATGTAATGGAAGATCTATAATATCCACAGATACCCTGGAAAAATCGGCACTTTCAGTTGCAAAAAAAGCGAAAAATAATGAAGAAGCTTGCAAAAAAGACAATCAAGAATAAGATTCTAAAGGGAAAAACCTCATCATAAGCAATCCTTAAAGAATCATCGTCAGATGAATTAATGGACCTAGTAATACATATAACCTGAGTACATACTTTGATGATGATGGATTTAATGATAACAATGCTGATAACTTTGATGTGTCATGATATGTCGTTTTAATGATAACAATGCTGATAACTTTGATGTGCCATGATATGTCGTTTTATGGATAACAATGCTGATAACTTTGTGCGCCATGATATGTCGTTTTAATGACATAATATATTTTATTTATGTATATAATATGGATGAATGCTAATTGCAATAATTAATATATGAAAAAATATATATTATTGTTGAAATTGCGTATTTATTTATTTTATGTCTATAAATCTCTTTTTTACATGTCTGACTGGACACTCGACTAGCATTTTTTTAAAGTTTTTAAACATTGAAAATCAAGAAATGCAAAGAAAGTTAAAATGTTAAAATATACCTTAATCATTGTATTTTGACAAAAAAAATGAAAACTTTGAAAAAGTTTGTTAGTTATTAAATAAGCTCAATTAAATTAAAAACTGTCTGAAGTCTCCCCAGACTCCTCTCTATAAATTTAAATAGTATGTTTAACTTATAACGCAGGTGTAAATATTTAGAAAAAAGTAAACTAGAGATTTAAAAAAAAACTTTTTAACAGAGGAAAGGGATTTCACACCGCACAGCCGCACCGCACAAACCTTTCTCAGAGTAGCATCTAGTGAAAATGTAATGGTTATAAATTTAGAGACTTGTTTGGTTTAATTTGGCTTAATGAATTTAATCAGCAATAGCCTATTACTATTATTATGTATTTAATAGCAATAGCTATTGCTGATTAATTAAAATATTTTATTTTTTAAACATGTTTACAGTTTTTTTAACAAGACTTAAAATTTATTAATTTACATTGATTACAATCATGGTGAAGATTTAACTGGTTTCTATTGTTTCACTGCAGGAAAGGAAACAATTTCACTGTTTATGATGACATACTTACACATAAGTTGTAACATAAGTTTTCAGGTTTTTAATTTTTGAAGTTTCAAATTTAAGTTCATCATAGTCAACTTTCCCTTACCTTAATGCAGCTGATGCAAAAGTTGGAGAATAATTTTTTATTTTTGTTTACACATACGATACAGAAGTTGGAAACTGAATAAAATACCTTAAAATTGAGATATTTTTTGAATAAGCTTTATTATTTTTTTATTTTTTATTAATTTGTTTGAGTTATAATCTTTTTTTATCCTAAAGACTCAGATAAAAAACTCTTCAAGTTTTACACAGAAACTTTTCCCCATTTAAAAACTAAATTTTGCTCATAGTATTTTGCCTATTTGTTGAAATTTAGGCAATTAATTTTATTTGTTATAATTATGTAAAAATAATCATTTATCAATAATAAATGAAGTAGTAAAAATGTGTGCTATCATTAATAATAATCTAATTTTTTTCAGCATCAGTACTACTCATAGATTATCAACCACTGCAACCAATAGAACATTTGATATATAGAATTTGCTTTGGAATACAGTGGACAGTTATTCTTTTGTTTGTTCTTGTACAGGTATACATTATTGTTTTATAACTTTTATGAGTATTTTTACTACAATCAAGTGTTATTAAAACTTAAGTTCAACCTCAACTATTTATTTTAATAAGTACAACCACAATCTTCCAAATTTTAATTCACCATTTAGTTGCACCAGCTCTTACTTTTAATGCTACTGGTTACAACTGTTGGTATGAACCTTTTGATTTTTATGTTTCAACATAAAATAATGCTACATCTTTAAACCACATAGGTTATTGGTTAGAACATAATCCACCATAATTAAGTCAAGTTTGACAATTATAAAAATGAATAGTACATATTTTAATAATTAATAAATAAATTATAATAATTAGTAAATTAATAAATAAATTATTAATCATTATTATTAATTAAAGAATTAATAAAAATGTATACTTTATTTATGATTGTAATAGTTGATGAATACTTGACTCAATAGTGTGATCATATGATCATAACACTTATTATTATTATTATTATTATATATATATATATATATATATATATATATATATATATATATATATACATATACATATACATATACATACATATATATATATATATATATATATATATATATATATATATATATATATATATATATATATATATATATATATATATATACATATAAAACTATATTTAGGTAAAATTGTCATTTTAACTAAAATAAAAATAACTAGCACATTTTTAAAAAAAAATTAATTATATAATTAATTGCAATGCTTTTTTAAAAGGCACAGTTGTTGCAAAAAAAAAAAAAAATTAAATAGAGTCCCGATTGAAATGCAAATGCTTTTGATTAGATTGGACTAAGTGATAAATATAAAAATAATTTTTAAAATGCCTGCGTTCTATAACAATAAGAAAAAAACATATTTTATAAGCAGTAAAATTTATAGCTCTTTGTCAAATTTTTTATCAAATTAGTAATGTTAATAAATAAATAATATATAGCTAGTGTGAAAACTATTTATATTAATTAATGTTGTTAATAAATAAATGGATAGTTGTGAAAATCTAAATACAACGCTCTACTAAAAAATTTTTTCACAGCATAAATAAATAACAATTGCTATGACTAAATTCTTGTAACAAGTTTGAAACCAAATTTTGTATTTAATAAGCAGCTTTTTGAATAAACGCTCGTGCAAAAAACCAAAAGCTCTTGTAAGAAGCTGTTTAGAAGAGCAGCTCACATAGCTTGCCATGTTCGTTTTAGGAGAGCTTTTCTCAGCTCTCGCAATTATTTACTCCTGTCGAGGTCTGGCTTCATGTTTTCTTGATGCTACTTGTTATGTTTATTACTTTCTTATTCTTTAACTTAAAATTTATTTTAAAGAAAAAGACTGCACTCTTTTCAATGTTGTTTCTGATCAAATTGATCAAGTCCTTTCTCTTTATCCTTTAACCATTATTGTTGTTGGTGATTTTAATACTTATCACACTGAATAGCTTGGTTCTAGTGTCAGTGACTCTGCAGGTGTTAAGGCCCACAATGCTTGCCTTTCTCAATCTCTAACACAAATAGTCAACTTTCCAACTTGCTTTCCTGACAATTTGAATCATTTACCTTCTCTACTCAAATTATGTCTTGTTTCTGATGCTAATTAGTGTTCAGTTTCTCCAAGTCTACCCATTCTTCATCATCTGAATCCCCTTATCATTGTACCTATTACAGCTACCTTAAAGACTGGGATTTTTTCTATGATTTTCTTTGTGATGGCTCTTGGGTTGAAATCTTTCATCTTCCTGCTGAATAATGTGCTACTAATGTAACATTCTTGGAATCAGGCTGGCATGGAATCTTTTATTTCCTTATGACAATTATAATTCAAGCTTCACTCTTCTTCATGGTTTTCCTTTCATTGTGCTGCTGCAATTTCCAAACGTAACCGTTACTTCCATATCTATTGCCAAAACAATTCTCCAGAAAACAGGGGTATGTTTACTATTGCTAGAAATCATTGTAAAAAGGTTTTGGTCTAACACCAAAGCCTGTTAAATCTTTTATTTCATTTCAAAATTTAGGCTCCAAAGGTTTCTGGAGTATTTTTAACAGTATCTATGATAAGGGTAAATCTGTTACTCCTCCGCTCTTGCATGATTCAGATTTTGTTATCTCACATGAAGACAAAGCTTAATTGTTTGCAAGAACTTCTCATCAATATAATCTCTTGATTCCACTAGTCACGTTTTACCTGATATAGCCGAAAAACTGGTTGATTCATTGCTTGACATATGTATCACTCCAGCTTCTGTATCTAAAGTGATCCAGACAACATACCTGTTCTAGTCTTGCAGAAGTGTTCTCTGGAGCTGTTGACTATACTTTCAAAACTATATAACAAGTGGATATCAGAGACTTGTTTTCCAGCCTGCTGGAAAGCGACAATTGTTATCCTTATTTTCAAAAATTATGGAGAGCGATCTAGCGATTGAATATCTACATATTTCCTAGGAAATAAATACTCCGGGAGTATTTGTTGGAGTAATTTTAGACTGTTATACCGCATTTTTAAATATTGTCTATTATTGTTTATCTGCTCAAAGACGTAACGTATCGTTAATATTATATGAAGACTCGTATAACAACTGTCCCATTAGTCTTCTTACTATCATAAGCAAAGTTTTTGAGTCTTTAATTAACACACACTTAATCTTGAATCTAATAACTTACTTTCTGATCATCAATATGGATTTCGATCCTCTCGTTCTACTGCTGATTTGTTAATGGTAATAACTGATAGGTTTTATTGTGCAATAGATAGATGTGGAGAGGTTAAGGCTATTGCTCTATACATTTATAAAGCCTTTGATAAAGTTTGGCATGATGGTCTTCTCCATAAGCTCTCATCTTTTGGTGTATCAGGTAACATCTTTAAGATTATTGAATCTTTCTTTACCAATCATAGTATAAAAGTTGTTCTCAATGGGCAGTACTCTTCTTCATTTCCTGTAATTTTAAGGGTTTTTCTAGGTTTTATCTTTTGACTTTTTTAAATTTATATTAATGTATTACTGTTTTTATTTTATTATAGTTTTCTTTTTTAATTTAAACAAATTGTTGATTTTTGATAAAGATTTAGCTTTTTTAGTTGAGATAGAGTTTAGAAAATCATCAGTTGATTTAAGGTAGTACTCTACAAAAATGCACTTTTTAATAAAAAATGGGAACAAAACCAAAAACTTGTATATTTCTGTTGAGAAACTATTGAAAAAATAATCTAAATAAAAAATTTTCTTACATCAATGTAGAATTTTTTTTTTAATATTTGTAACGGTAAAAAAAGCGATTAAAATTGAATTTGGTAAAATATTTTCCTGTCAGACTTAGTGACATAATGTCTTCTATTCTTCAGAAATTTTCATATTTAAGGTGGCATTGATTACTGATGATACTACCATTTGTTCTGGTCTTGATAAGAAACCAACACTCTCTGATTGCTTGGAGGTGATATTTTAGCTTGAAATGGATCTCACTTTTGCTTTCAGCTCTCAGTGGCTGGTGAACTTTGGTTCAGATAAAACTCAATTTTTTTCAGCTGATCGTTAATGCAACAATCTAAATCTTTCTATATTTATGTAAGTAATGTACTTGATGAGTCATCTATCTTTTGTCTTCTAGGATTAACTCTTACTTCTGATCTTTCTTGGAAACCATATATAAAATCCATTACAAAATTAGCATCTGTTAAGGTTGCATCTCTATTGTGCATGCCACTTTTTTACTCAGAATTCTATTCCTTATCTCTATAAATCTCAAATTCATTCTTGTATGGAATACTATTGCCATATCTGCAGGTTTTAGGATGATGCCCTTTCACTTTTAGACAAAAAAACAAAATCTAACAAAAATGTATCGTAAACATAGTTGGACCTGCTCCTGTAGCTAACTTTCAACTATTGTCACATCATCATAATGTTGCTTCTCTTTCTCTTTTCTATAAATACTATAATGGGCGCTGCTCTAAAGAGTTAGTGTCTTGTGCCATCTTCTAAAATTCATTCTTGTGTTACTTATCACTCAATTAACTCCAAAACTCTTATTTGTCTATTTTAGTTCCTTGAACATCAGTTCTTTGGATTGAACATCAGAACTTCAGTTCTTTAGAATTCGCTCCCTTCATTTTGATTTCATAATTCATATAATTTGGTATCTTTTAAGTAGTCTGTTGATGGTTATCTTGCTTTATAAAGTTCATCTTTTCTCTTGCAGTAATTTCCAACTCTAATAGTGGTTGCTTGCAGCCTTGTTAAAAGTGTTGGAAGTGAAGACGTTACAAAAAAAAAATATATTATTGAACAAAGGTCACAAGACTTATTCAAAGTATTTTTATATAAGTGTAGTTAACAACATAACAATATGGTACAGCAGATTTACACCTTTAAAAATGTAAAATGAAATTTAAAAACAGGTTATTTTGTTCTTTAACTGAGTGATTGCCCAAGTATTTGCAAAATAATAAATACAAAAAGTAATGTTTTTGATTTAAAGATGTTTGATTACAAGTGAATGTGGATGAATTGATGATGATGAACGGATGAAGTGAATTGATGCTAATATAACAATATAGATAATAATCAAAATATTTTTTAATAATAGTTGTTCAAAATATAAGTTAAAAGAAATGGTTTTAATAAATATTTTAAAAGTTGGTTTAAAAGAGTTAAAAGGAATAGTTTTGATTTTAGGCAGCATCATTGACTTCACGTTCTGAAAAATTAAAAGAAAAAGCTTTAACAATTCGTGTATTTGGATATCAATCAAATACAGAAGCTGAAATCGATTCATTTCTTAACTTTTTAAATATGACTAGACTTGAGGTAAGTTGATATTGCCAAAGAAACTGCTTACTAACTAGGTGTAAATTAGTTTTTTTTTATTTTTATTTTATTTAAATTTATTCAAAGATAAATTTAATTGTTAAAGTTTAATTGATTTAAATATTTTTTCAAAAAAGAACATTTTAATGTGTTAAATAAATCAATGTCTTTATTTATGTCACAGTACAAATCTTGTTGGATTAAATCATAAAAGATATATGAAAGATCACAAAAAAATAATAAGTTTTGGTTAGATAGTTTCATTTGTTTAAATCAGCAAACAAAGAAGGAAAGTTGCAACAACAAAAAGAAGTTCAAGTTTCCAAATTTTTGTGAACGAACAATCTGAAGGAAATTTTTTTAAAAGTTTTAAGCGAGACCAATACTCTATTTGTATTGACTTGAAACACACAAATCAGTTTGAGAACTGAAGGACTGTTACATCAAAACTATTGAAAGAAGCTACGGAAAGTCAAAAACGAACATCTAAATATAGAGAAGCATATAAGAAAATACCACAACAATAAATTTGAAGATGTTATAAATGTTTTGGTCAAAGCAAAACTATCCAAATATCAATATGATGATTTAAGAAAAAGTGTTGCTCAAAAGTTTCCCTTATACTAAAAAGTTCAAGCAGCTGACGTACTAATATTCATGTAAGAAAAACCTAAGCTTTGGTTTCTTTGTAACCTTTACTGAACCATACAATACAATCCTTACTAGAACCTGTTATTAGGACTTTTTATTATGATGAATTAGACCAGCTTTAATTAATTTTAAAGAAGGGGTTTGGTGACTCTTCAGTAGGGTGACAATTTTTTTACCAAAAAAAAAAAAAAAAATTAACACTGCATCTAATTCTTTTCTACACCCCTCAGTGATATTAAAACTGCTTTGGTTTTGTTGTTAAGGACTAGTATTAGTGCTAGATGTAAAAATTATATGATTTCATAATTAACCATCATTTCAAAATTTTCTTTGTTCATCGTCAATATTTTTTTACTTCTTCAAAATGTATCATTTAGAAAAGTAAAATGTAATTTAATGTTTAGTTTTTCATTCAATGAATAGAATGACACTGCTTTGCAAAACGTTTTACAGTAGTTTTGATGGATTTTAATACTGGTAACAAAACTACTAATAAAGTTAATTGCACATATAGAAAATAGTTTTAGGTAAGGTTTATTACAGATATTGTTCAGTATATTATTTAATAATGACATAAATAAATTTAATGAATTGTTTTTAAATTAAATTTAATAAAAATAAAAATTAAACATTTTTTATTTAATTGCCAACAGACATAAAAATCCAATCAAGTAGAAAAAAAGGTGAATAATGTTAGACATCTGAATGTTGTTTGTAGGAGGCCCCTTTACTTTCTTAAATCTCTCATTTCTTTTTTATCTCTGAATCAGCTTCCAACTAATAGGTTACTTCGAAGACATAATCAATATTTAATCAACAGTAGATCAAAATGATTCAAAAGTATTAATGATAATTTTTCTTGTCCTATGGGATCAAATTTTAGCATGAAATCCAAAGGAAAAACAAAGTGTTATCAGGAAAATGGAGATTTGTGTCTTCTTAGAAAAATAGTAAATATCTGGGAGTCCTGTGGTTTTAAAAACTATATTATTGGAGAGGATAATTTATTATCAAAATTTGTGAAACTTTACAAAAAATGGGTATGAATGACCAAAATAAAGTTGTTAGTTTAGAAAAAGGACACCAAAGAAAAGTTAGTAAAAGAAATTTAAGCAATAATGAAGATTCTTTTTGACATTGGAAAACCCAACATAAATAAGCTTATAGAACTCAGTCAAGGTATGCCAAGAAACAAAGAGAGTAAAGAGGAAGATTTAGCATTTTTAGAAGATCAGAAAAATGCTAGAAAGCAGTATATATGCAGGCATTTATATATATAAAGAACTTAAAGCAAAGATTGAACGTAGACAAGAGAAATACAGTAGATATACAGATTATAAGAAAAAAAAGTCAATAAATGCCAATGGAGATGCCCAATACAATAATTACAAGAACTACGATTACTTAGATTTAGAAGATCAATTAAAAATGCTGATGGAAATTATTCAAATGATAAAAAATCAATATCTAAATTAGATAATTTTCATCATGAAAAATCTAAATTGTATATTTTACATATGTTATGTATATTACTATAGAATAAACTGTGAGTGTACTTTTTCATTTTTATTTTTTGTTAATATTATTGTAGATCTTTAAAATCTGGTATTGATTGTAGGTAATACTGATGTAATACTAATAATTCTGATGAGGATGAATATTAACAAAAAACATCAAACAACGCAAACAAAAAGAAAATTAATGACAAACCACTCCTGCTTTGATCCTATACAATCCTTGTCAATAAAGAAATTACTTGAGATAGCCTAATTACAGCTACAACTCCTCTCAGTGTAAAGACCGGCTTAAGCTACCGAGATCAAACAAGGTTTATAGCCAGTATTATGAACTACCTTTAAGTAAATATGAAAAAAATTAAGATAAATAGAGAAACAGATTGAAGCGTTATGAGGTTGTTCGAAATCACGTAAATGAAATTAGACAGAAATCAAAGGAAATGAGAGGAAAAATCTTGTTCTTCAGCTTTGATGACTAGTTACACATTTTTACACATAGTTACACATCTTCAGCTTTGATGACTAGTTACACATTTGTATAAGAAAATCCAACAAACAGTTACAAGAGATAGAATTACTGTCTGTTACTAGTCCTGAATTTGAACACAAGGACAATCTTCTTTTAGGAATTGCTCCAAGTGACATAGGTAAAGCATCTGATCAGGCTTTAGTAATTCAAAATTTGTTAGAATATTTTGAAGTTACAGACCAAGTATTTGCTGTCTGTGTTGATACTACAACCAACACTGGTAGGAAAGAGGGGGCAATCATAATCTTGACAAGAGTATTTCAGAAACCTTTATTGTGACTATTATGTCGGCACCACATACACCAAATACATATTAAACATATTTACAAATTAATTACTGGAGATAACACCAAAGTTCACAAAAGGCCCTTTACTCCAACTTTAAGAAGCAACGGGAAGATTTTGACCAGAGAAATAGTCATGGTTATTGCTGGCTCTGACCTTAAAATTCAAATAAAGTTTGATATTTTGAAGGCCTGAGCACGAGGTTCATTTTTGAAGGCCTGAGCACGAGGTTCATGACATTAGTGAAATTATTAAAGAGTAATCACTTTCTGCTTTGATGAAAATACTAAACTTTGTATTACCTGTGAAAGCTGGTTTCTTTTTGTTGTTTTGGATTTAGTAAAAGAAACAAGGATTTGGTTGGAAGCATGCCAGAATAAAAAAGGTTTAGAGCTAATACCCTCGTACAAGAAATTTGTCCTTTTTATTAAACACCTCAGTGTCACAAGTGATTGTTCTAAAAGAAACTTTAGACATATATAAAAGTTTTGTGAGGATCAGAGACAAAACATTATGCTAGTTGTTCGAGAAAATCGAAAACAAATTTCAAAGAATGTTCATCAAAAAGATTTTGTTAATTTAAAATATTGTTGTTTATTATATTGCTGTAAATGCAAACATGTTTTATTGGTTAAACTCTTTTGTTAATTATCTCAGATTAAATTCAATAATACTAATAGTATAAAACAGTTATTATACTAACATGCGCTTTTTTACATTTTATAGTATGTTTGAAAAAAATGATGAATATTTAAATTATTGAAAAAATACATCTAACTGTTCCAATGATCCTAGTAAGCTAAAATTTTCAATATAAGCTAGTATATAGATGGAGAGCAGGTCTTTACACAGTGCATTTGCACTTTATGAGAAAGGTAAAAAAATTGAAAAAAAATTGTCACCCTACTCTTCAGGCCATAGTTTATACATTTTATGATTTCAAAGCCAGTGATTTAGCTATTTTTCTAACTTGCATCGTCCCTCTTTGTCTTGTCTCTGGTGGAAAAATTATTAGATCAATTCCACGCCATGCATCCACAAGATATTGTAGGCCTCTAGAAATTGAATTTATAAATGAGTCTAAGATAGAATCAATTGGGGAGAAAAATAGAGAAAATAAAAAAGACGAATCAAGACAAGTAGAAGTAATCAAGACAAGTAGAAGTAATCAAGACAAGTAGAAGTAATCAAGACAAGTAGAAGTAATTAAGACAAGTAGAAGTATTTCATACTTTTAATATTTTGTATATTAAGTATGTAATGCTCTGACAGACACTACTTCCACCCAAAGATGTTTTATATGGTGCAACCGCAAAGTAGTTTAATGGTATTAAGCAAATGGTTCAGAGAAGTATCAAAACTGAAAACTTTGGATTCGCCAAATCTGTGCTACATGGCACTATGCGTTGCTCTTATACAAAATGAGGAAATAGGCATATAAATAAAGAAGGACTTAAAATATTTAACTTATTTTTTCACAAGACATCAATTTTTTATTTATATTTCTATATTTAAAAGAATCATATTCGGTTTTCATAAAAAAACAATTTATTGTATTTTTTTTCGGTTAGTCCGGACTAATTCTAGATTTGTCCGGAAAACTACACAAGTCCGGATGATTTTATTCAAAAAAAAGTAGGCCCCTATATTTTATAGAATTTTACAAACTATGTATATGAACACTTTTTCAAAATAAACAGTATCATTGAATATAATAAACAACTCTGCTATCATATGATACTTGGCTCTTTGCATTCTTTCACAGTTTCTCAACGTTCTATTCTAATAGATGTTTTTAACAACTCGTGGCTATGAAAATAGCCGTTTTTTAAAAATTCAACGCAGAACAGCTCATCAGTATGATTCTTCATGGTCTTACTTCCTAAAATAGTTAATTGCTTGTTAAAATTGATTAAATTATTTCTTAAATTTATTTTTAAAAACATAAAAAAAAACAAAAAAAAAACGCAACTTTGAGTTGTTAATTAACCAAAATTATGAGATTGCCTAACCAAAAAAAAATCAATCAAAACTATTAACAATATTAATAAAACTATTTTACCTTTATTTTAAGCAGTTATCAGAAGAACTGTCACTTTGCTTTCTTAAACTATTTTGTTTTCACTCTTTTTTTATCAATTTTGTTTTTTTTGCAAAAGAGGTACATATCAGATGTCCTAAACAAATAATTAGCTGTATCCCTAGTGTTTTCTGCAAAAGAGGTTAAACATGCATGACCAATTCGAGCAGTTTTGTTTTCCTTATTTCTGGCTTCAATAGCACTCTCAGACAAAGAACCTATCGGATACTTAAAATACCTTATAAAAGAAGTACCATGAACTATCACTCTATGCACAGATTGTGACATAGGTATGGTTTTTAAAAATTTATCATTAGTTATGAGTGCAAATAGATGTTCAGATTTCTGTTTGAAAACCTTTATATCCGGTCTTGTAGTTGTTCTGTTTATATCAATGAGTAAATCTCGAAACAACTTAATCATTCTGATATCCAAGTTTAAAATTCTCCCTGTCACAATCGGGTTATTAAAAAATTTGCGAGCAACATTTCCAGTATTGGTTGTTCCACATCCTTTCCTGACAAAAGAAACCCTTATATTCAGTTGTATCTTGAATAAATGCTGGAATTTTTTTTTGTTTTCAATAAATTCTTTACTCTTTTGTGATGGAATATTTCTTCCTTACTTAACAGCTGGGAGTTTACAAGCAGTATTGAAAATCCACTCCATACAGCGCATCCATAGATGAAGACTGCAAATTCCAAGTTTCAAAACATGCTTGTTTAAATTAATATTTTTTTTCCAAACAGTTTTCAAGTTAAACTCCTTAGAATTTCCAAGGCATACATGGCAGGACTGAAATGAAATTTTTTTTTAAGCATATTTGATACAACAGCGTTTAGTGTTTTGCCATCATTCATTGTGGTATAAATAGTTGACAAACTAGACTTTACTACAAAAGTACTTTCACCAAGTTTAAATTCAATATTCTTCAATAAATCATTTTTCAAATGTTCAAATTTTTCCTGAATAAAACTAGCAGTCTCTTTTGCAAAACAAAAAAGAAGATGAAGGGTTGCATCTGGACTATTTGGAATTAAATTTTTCCATATTATTTTTTCTCCACTTCGGATCTCCAGCAGTATAAACACTATACTATACACAGAGCGATCATCTACACCTCTTTTCATAGTTGCTGAATTTTGAAACTCAGATTGATCACTTTGACCATCACCTCCTACTTTGCAAATAATTTGTACATTATCACGCTCTTCTTGTGATAAACTCATTATGCAGTTACTTTCATAATCCAAAAGATATTCAAACACTCTAGAAACTGAATGCTTTATCATATGGAAAAGACTACATTTTACTTTGGTTTCAGAATATTCAAATTGTTCTGGATATTTCAATTTTTTGTATTGCTTCAACTTGGTTAAACCTGGAGGAACAAGATGATGATTATGAGTCACTATATTTTTAAATTCAGTCCATGTTCTATCTGTAAGTTTCAAGTTACAAAGAGCTTGCAATGACAAATTTGAACCATATAAAATAGCCCTACCATCAGTAGAAGAATTAGATTTAAACCTTTTGACAGCATGTTGCAGTTCTTCCACCTCTCGTTCTCTAAGACTATCTGTTCTTTTACGCTTCATCCTGTTTGTAAGCTTAATAAAAGACTTTCTAGGTTTTGGTGTACAAGATGTATTGACTGCAGATGATTTAGGTACTCTACATGGTACACTATAAATAATAAAAATATACATTGAAACATATATACATTTTGAAGGTTTTGTGAAACATAGTCAAACAATATGTATGTGTGTGTGCAAAATAAAAAGATGGAGATTTATCTATGCATACCTGTTTACATTGGATCCATGAGTACGAAGCAGTAATTCCCCTTATTTTATTTTATGCTCACCCTGCTTAATGAGTTGATTACCCTGTTTAATCAGATTTTCACCTTTTCTAATTAATAGCAGTTCTTCCTCATGTGTTCTAATCTCTTTTTCAGAATCTTTTTCTAATTTACACGCACAAGTATAATATATATATATATATATATATATATATATATATATATATATATATATATATATATATATATATATATATATATATATATATATATATATGTGTATATATATATATATATGTGTGTATATATATATATATAAATATATATATATATATATGTTTATGTATGTATATATATATATATATATATATATATATATATATATATATATATATATATATATATATATATATATATATATATATATATATATATATATATATATATATATACACTATAATGCAATATTTATTACTTATTTATAATAAATCAATATAGAATATATTATACTCACAAGAGATATTTGCATTGTTGATTTTGATCCAAAAAATGTTTATATTTAGTAAGAAAGAACTTTTTTCTTTTTCCACACTCATTAAATTTTTTTGTTAAGTTAAAAGCCAGACTTTTGAAAATGTTGAAATTCACAGTGCAATCAGCATAAAGTGATAAAAACTTGGACTGCAAAAATTTAGCACATTCAGATACATTTTTACTCGTGAAAATATGCCTTGCTAAGATTAAAAGTAACCATTTTTAAAAAATTCTAAATCACGATGAGAGCCAAACTTAGGTTATAACTTAAAGACTAGAAAAGAATGTTCCGCCCGCATCTAGTTTCTTCTTGACAAAAACTAACTAACCGGTTTTTAACAAATCCACCTCTTTTTAATTGATTTTATAGCATGTTACTACAGAGGTAGCCAGAATATTATTTCACTTATAAAAAGTCAATTTGTTTGAGAAAATTTTAAAAAAATAAAAAAACTGGCTACCTCTGTAGTAACATGGTCTAATCGATCAATCTTTACAGACACCCAAAAACAATGATCCAAACATTTTTTTTTTCTTTTCTTGGTTTTTAATTTACGAAATGTATCATTTATTAGAAAGTGTGCAAAAAAAATGAAGAAATTTGAAAATTATCTTATGTAATTTAAAGATTTAGTGAAAACATGGTTTTTTTTACCCCTGAAAATCCCGCACCTAAAAAGGCAAATTTAAAAAAATTAAAAAAAAAAATTTTTTTATTAACTAATACTAACTTGTTTCAGTTAAAAAATATTTAAAATATTAAAATTGAAAATTTTTTTCTGAAAAGTAAGTAAAATCCTATTTCCACTTCGCGACGCATAGTGCATGGGTGGATTTAATATTTGACATGGCAAGCTCGTGGAAGTAATAAAAAAATGGTTGCAAATAATAAAGCTCGAATTCAGAAATAATTGTGTGATTATTGATAAACCGAAACCAGAAATTGGTAAAACAAATAATGGAAACACAGCTAGGCGCTTCTTTGTCGAGGCAGAAATTTCAGCTGCTATAACAAAAGTAAATATAGTTTTAATTAAAAAAATTCATACAGTTATGAAAGCAGTGGCAAGCGGACATGATATTGATGTAAATAAACTTAAATTATTCACTCTTGACACAGCAATATACTTTGTTAAAAGGTACCTATGGTTAAGCATGCCCCCTACATTGTCTAAATACTTTATACACGGTCTTAAAATTATATCATCTGCATTGTTGCCAATAAGACAATTAACTGAGGAAGCACAGGAAGCAATAAAGACTTTAAAAAATATAGAGAGAATTAAAAAATGTAGTCGAAAGGCCACAAATGCTGATATATTTAACTTCTTTTTATTCATAAAAAAAAATAACTTAAGATAATAACTTCTTTTTATTCATAAAAATAATTATACAAGCTTCCAAAAGAAGCACTAAATTCACTCAAACCTCCAGACAAACAGTAATTATGATGTTGATAATGATGATGATAATGATGATGATGATGATGATGATGATGATGATGATGATGATGATGATGATGATGATGATGATGATGATAATGATGATGATGGTGATGATGACGATGATGATAGTGATGATGATGATGATGATGATGATGATGATAATGATGATGATGATGATGATGATGATGATGATGATGATGATGATGATGATGATGATGATGATGATGATGATGATGATGATGATGATGATGATGATGATGATGATACTGTAGTTAACTGTTACAGTAGTTATGAGTAGTTATAGTAACTAGTCACAAATTAGTTATTTAGAAGTATGACTAATTGACTCTAGTAGTTTTGGATTATGGATATCTTGAAAGTAATTAGTTGTTATAAATATTTATTTTTTTACTTTCAAATATGGAAAGAAAAATTTCACATTTTTGCTAATTCTTTTTTATTTCTGTATTTATATTTATTATAGTTTATATTTTTTCAATAGGCAGAAATATTTGCCATACCTGTTAAGTCTCGATATTTGTGGGGTATATTGATAATTATGATTCAGTCATTGATCATCGTTCTTCAGACTGGTCCTTTATTTAATAATTCAAAATGGATGTAGCACTTACAAAAATATTTAATTATTCTTTTTTATTATATTTTATTTTTCAAATAAAAAAAAATTCGAGAACGTCTTATTACCATAAGTGTTCTTAAATATTACTATACACGCTAAATACATAATGCTAAAAATATTGTTATATGCATACCTGTTTATACATGTTATTAAATGTATGTGTGTGTATGTACACACACATATAATTATATACATATATATATTCAATTTTGTGTAAAATATTGTTATAAATATTTTTATATGGAGTACAAATGGTTTGAATAACAAATTTGGTTACAAATATATTTTTTTATAAAATCATTATAAATAACATATATATATTTTTTATATAGTTGGAAATATTAATTGTATTGTTAATTTTATTGTTAAAAAGTATATTATATATATATATATATATATATATATATATATATATATATATATATATATATATATATATATATATATATATATATATATATATATATATATATAATATACTTTTTAACAATAAATATATATATATATATATATATATATATATATATATATATATACACACACACACACAAACATTCATGTTCCTTCTTTCCTTCTTTGGTCTTTTTTTTGTTTGTTTGTTTATTTGTTCTTCTTCGTGGTCCTTCTTTTTTTACTGTCAATTCTCTTTTTAGAGTTTTTAGTTTTATACCATTTTTTTTAAACATCAAAATAATTTTAATATGCTTCAGACAAGATTTGCGGATAGTATAAATTTTTAAACATAGGTTGGGGCAAAATCACTTAGAGAATCATTTTTTTGGTTTTTGTACATCCCCCAATTCTTATGATAGTTAAAAAATATTCTTATTTGAAACAAGTATGATATTGCAATGTGATTGGTCTAATTTTGCAGTTGCAATCTTGCAATTGTCTTTAATACCAAAAATGTAGTCCATATCAAATGTAGTCTATATCAAGATCTATTTTGATTGATTAAAATGTTTTTTAGAATTCATTTGAATTAACTATTTTTATAATTGTTAAAATTGCCAATTTTGAGAAATGCATAAAATTTTCTTCGTTGGTGAGGATTAGCTTGCATCTTATAAAAACGAGTGTTGAGGAAACACCAATATATTTTGTGTAGTTCGGTTTTTAGAAATGCAGTTAACCCGAGAATTGAATTATTATTTTTTATTAAAATTTTTTTTTTATTTAAACAGTTTGTTATAAATCTTTATACTACAACGGAAATAAAATGTAAACAATCATAGATTATATAAATTGAATTTATTTTTTTATACTTTTTTCAGATTTGTTTACTTATTTGATTTTGTAATAATTAGTGTTTTTGTAAATAAATTAAATTTTTTTGAAAATATTTTGCAATATTTTTTTTTAAATCCTAATTTGAAACTCTTATTTCAGAGTATCGTCATAGATAACTTCATACTATTTGATTAGCGGTTTTTCGTTTCTATCCTCATGGATAATGCTTTGAGAATAGAGTAAAATTTGAATTCGTAACCTATAGATCTGAAGCGATCTAAGCACCGCATGACAGCTTCTTTGGATGAACTTATCTTAAAAGTCCAACCTTTTACGTATGTAATAAACTTATCTTACCAAATTCCAACCTTTCACGTATGTAATAAACTTATCTTGCCAAAGTCCCTTTACGTATGTAATGAACAATTGATGCTTGATGCTTTTCCCAGTCATCAACAATTTTTAATGTTTGACATTGTAAAATGCGCATCATAAAATAAAGTTAAAGATTTTCCATTTCAAATAAATTTAGATGTCGATTTTTTTTTTTTTTTTTTTAATGCCTGCTTTGTCTGTTTAATTTGTCAAATAACAAATATTTTTTCACATTTCCTGTAAAAATAGGATAAATTCTTTAAACTATTTTACTAACATCTATTGCCTGTAAAATCTTCGAAAAACATGTAAAGAACAAAATTTTAAAGCACATTAACGGTAATAAAATACTCTCTGCAAATCAACATGGCTTCCTTTATCATAAATCATGCGTAACTAACCTAATAGAAACTTTTGATATCATTTCGTCCTCCATAGCATCCCACCAATTTGTTGATGTAATCTATCTTGACTTTGCCAAAGCGTTTGACTCTGTACCTCACAACAAACTTTTCTTAAAATTAAGATCTTTCGGTGTAAACGGCAAACTCCTACAATGGATTAAATCCTTTTTAGTGGGCAGAAAGCAACGCGTTACAATTAACAATACCAACTCTGCATAGGTTGATGTTCTCAGTGGTGTTCCTCAAGGTTCTGTTCTCGGCCCGCTCCTCCCTCTTTATTCTCTACACAAATGATCTTGCAAAACTCACTGAAACTTCTGAGATATTTGCCGATGATACTAAACTTTTTTCTAAAACCTTATCGCAATCTAATTTTGTTAATCTGCATCGTCTACGCTTTTGTTGATCAGGATCGTCTACGCTTGGTATACGAGTGGTCAAACACTTGGTTACTTAAGTTAAACACCTCAAAATGCTGCGTCATTCATTACAGTCAAAACAACCCCCATTACAATTACTTTCTGCAAAATAACCAAGGAATCAATTAATGTCTAAGAAGCTCTACTAAAGAATGTGATTTAGGAGTCATTTTTACATCTAACCTCACGTGGAGCGCTCATATTCAAACAGTTGTCTCTAAGTCCTTACAAATTCTTGGTATGCTGAAAAAGACATTCACTTTCATTGAAGAAAAAATGGCTCTCAAATTATATAAAGTATTTATAAGACCACATCTTGAATATGGAGTGTCCATTTGGGCTTCTTATTTAAAAGCTGATATGGCTTTGGTTGAATCTGTTCAACGCAAAGCAACAAAATGGGCTTACAGCTTGAGGCATCTTCAATACTGCAAAAGGCTAAAAAAATTAAATCTACCATCACTTGAGTTTCGACGCCTTCGATGCGATTTAATCCAAATTTTTAAATTAATACATCGTTTTGATATAGTTAATGATAAATATCTACCAAAATATATTAACTCCATGTCTCGTGGTCACCATTCTAAAATAAGGCGTGAGTATGTTCCAAACTGTCTTCCAAGATATAATCATTTGTATAATAGATCAGCAAAATACTGGAGCGAACTACCAGAGCAAATAACTTTGTACTCCACTGTACTTTCCTTCAATAATAGACTAGACTCCTGGTTGTGAAATACGTTTGGAACAAATATTTATAAAACTGGTTGTTTATAGTGGGATGTTTTCCCTGCTCGTTGTATGTGTACGTTCTATGTAAATTTACGGCTACAACTATAATAATAATAATAATAATAATAATAATAATAATAATAATAATAATAATGATTGTTGTCACAGGTTTTAATATTAAAGAAAAAATTTTAAACTTGTTTTTAGTAAATTCAAGACAAAATAAAAGAGAAATACATTGAAGCATCTGTGGTATTTAGAATGTCGACTTTAGAATCAGATCTTCTTGTAGAGTAAGGTGGCTATTTTTTTAATAGAAAAAATTGCCACGGTTCATAAATATTTTATTGTATTTTTGATGATAAATGAAGCTCGAATTTCATAAAAAAACTGTAAATAAATTATATTTTAAGCAAATTTCAACAAAATCAGAGATAAAAAGGGCAAATTTGAAAAAATTCAAAACAATGTTTCTTGATTAATTTTAGTTTAAACTCAATAATTTTTTGTTTATAGCTTCATTACATTATTATCATTCATTTTGACTAAAAGAATGAAAAAATATCAAAAACGGGATACAATACTTAAAAAAGTCACAAATTTATACATAAAAAAACAACACAGGTGTTGTGTTATAAAAATTGATATAACGATCATTTTAGTAGGCACTTCACACAATTTTACGATTATCATTATCGCTGGCTATAATTTTTTGTTTGTTTATTTGTTTGTTTGTTTACATCTTAGGTAATATATATAAATTACATATTTTTCAAATACAAAAAAGACTTCTAAAAGAAGATAAAATGATCTTATCGTCAGAAGCCTTTTACAAAAGAGAGTACGTAACATAGGGGAGACCGGGGTTGGTTGCAACAAAATTTTAAAAACGTAACTTATACCCTTTAAATATATATTTTTTCGATTTTATTTTTCAGGGTTATAAAATAGATTTAAGTTACGTATTAATCCAACATTGATAAATAAAATATCAAATTTAGTTATTCCGCAATAGTGAAACAAAAATATGTTGCATTTTACCCCGCACCGGGGCGAATTGCAACAGTGCACGGGGCAAGTTGCAACACAATACTTTTAAAGTATAAGCTTTGCAGAGTTCACATAAAAATTACTAGTTAATCTGTAATTTCTATTTGGCAACAAAACATTATAATTAAAAGAAAAGAAAAGTAGTATTTTAGACTTGACATGTACCTGACATGTTTAGTAAACTAATGCTTACATTCAAAGACTTTAAAAACTGAAGAAAGAAAATAATGAGGATTATTATTTAAGCTCATATATTATTTAAACTTTTAAGTGTTTTTTTAAAAAAGTATTCCTTTAGTTATTCAGTAAACATTAAATCAATTTATAAAAATGCAAGAGTAGTTTTATAAATAATATAAAACACAACTTTCATAAAAATAAACAATAATCTAACTTTGATAACAAAAAAAAAAATTTCCAAGCAATAAAGGCTCATAAAAAAACAAACTAGCATTAAAGAAACTAAAGAGTTTCATTACATTTCAAGTCAACAATTATACTTTTTTATTGTTTTTTTTTTTGATGCAGAAGTACTAGCAGATTTTCGCTTTCTAGAACTAATTTCTTTTTCAGCCATAAGACGCTGTTTTACTGGTGTATCTGTGAGTACTTCTGTATGCTTTCTCTTTGATCTAGTGAGTATTTCTTTCCTGGGTCGTGCTTTTGGTAGCGGTCTTACAACCTCAGGGGAAAATTTTGAAACTGCAGATGGAATTGCATCTGAGGTTGAAGTTGATATACTAATATCAATAGCTGCATTAGATTGGGTTGCTGGACGATTCGTAACAAATGATGGAGCAAAATCTGCATCTGAAAATATATCCTTATTATATGGCAATATTCCTGCCACTCTAAAACCAGAAGATATATTTTGTTGTGTAAGAGAATGTTGTAATGCTATTTTTGCAATTCCTGGTAAATCATATATACTCATTGTTTTCCCTGGACTACTTTTTATCCATGAGTCTTGTGCATTAGCTAAGCATTTTTTAAATGGTCCGAATACAGATCTATCTAGAGGTTGCAACTTATGCGAACAATGAGGAGGGAAAGAAAGCAAAACTATACCATTATCTT